TAGTGACTCTTCCAAAATTTTTATCCATCTTCAAAACTCCTATGGTTCCTCCTCCCCCCAAATCCTCTCAGCTGATAATCTTGCCTCATATATTACTAAAAAAAATGAAGGTTAATTGTGAAGAGTTCTCTCTTTTTCCCTCCTCCTTATCACCCAGATGCCATCTGCCATTATCTCCTCCTTCACCCATCTTATATGGAAAGGTGGCCCTTCTTACCAAGGCAAACATCTCTACATGCACAAATGACTCCATTCCATCTCATCTGCTGGGATTGCCCCCTCCGTCCTTCCTACTGTCTCACTTATCTTCAATCTCTTCTTGTCTTCAGGCTGCTTCAAATGTCCTAGAAACATCCCCAAATCTCCATCCTCAACCCTTATGATCAGTCTATTCTCCACTAGCTATCATTCCACAACTTTCCTCCTGATTGGGGCTTAATTCCTTGAGAAGGTCATCTGCAACACTTTGCTTTCATTCTCTTTTCAACTCTACAGTCTGGCTTTTGACTCATTGTTAACTTTCATTTGAAAAAGAATTTTTTTAAAAGAATCATTAACTGCTGTCTTTAGTTATGAATCATCTCAAGTGTCAAATCTAATGGGCTTTTCTCAGTCCTCATCCTCTTGACCTCTCTGTAGCCTCTGACACTGTCAATCACCCTCTTTTCCTTAAAACCTTCTTCTTCCTAGGTTTCAGTGATACTACTGCAAACAATACCACAGTAGTTCTCCTCCTATCTGTCTGAATGGTCCTTCTTAGTCTCCTTTGCTGGATCTTCATCCAGGTCACTAATGATGATCATGGGTATCCCTCAGAACTCTGTCTGGGACCCTCTCCTCTTCTCCTTCTATTGCACTTGGTGATGCCATCCACTGTCATCATTTCATTTATCTTTCCTATGCTGACGATTCTCAGACCTGTTTATCTAGCCCTAACCTGTCTCCTGACCTCCAGACTTGCATCTCCAACTACCTATTAGATATTGCAAGCAAAGTGTAGAGATGCACTGATTCACCAATGGGTCAAGATGGAGAAGGAAGTTGAGTGTGTAGGGTGGCTGGCCTAGGAAAGGACTAAGGGATCAAAGGATTAACCTTGGTAGAGAGAATTTCCTCACCTGGGAGTTCCCTATATCCATGAAATTACAGGGCTAAGCCCATTGCTTAGAACAGGCGTCCATTTACTTTTTTTGTCTCATGAACCCCTTTGGCAGTCTGAAACCTATGAACCTCTTCTCAGAATAATATTTTTAAATGCACAAAATAAAATATATAGGGCTACAAATTCACAGATTCCAGGCTAAGAATTCTTTGCCTTAGAGGGAATGGACAATTCTTCTCCTTAGACATCTTAAACTCAGCATGTCCAAAACTGAACCAATCATCTTTCTTCTCAAACCTCCCCTACTTCTGAACTTCTGTTGCTGTCAAAGATATAGCCATTTTCTCAGCCACCAAGAGCTACAATCTAGATGGTATCCTCTACTCCTCACTCTTTCATCTTCTGTATCCAATCATTTGCATGTCATTTCCACCTTTGTATATACCCCCTTTTCTTCTCGGACACTGCTGCCATTCTAGTGTAGGTCCTTATCACCTCATACCTGGACTATTGCAATAATCTGCTAGTTGGTCTCCCACTCCAGTCTATTCTCCACTCATCTATTCAATTAATCTTTCTAAAACGCAGACTTGCCCATTTCTTACCCCTCATTCCCATTCAGTGAACTCCTGTAGCTCCCTATCATCTCCAGGATCAAATATAAAATCTTCTCAAAACTTCAGGGTCCCCTCATACCTTTACAATCTCTGTACACTTTACCTAGCCCATTTACTCTGTAGGTCAATGACACTGGTCTCCCTGCTGTCCCTTACACAAGGCAATCCATCTTTTGACTGGGTGTCTTCATGTGCCTGGAATTTTCTCCCTCCTCATTTTCATATCTTGGCTTCCTTCAAATTCCAGCTGAAATCTCCTCTTCTGTGAGAAGCCTTTCCCCATTCCCCTTATGCTAGTGCCTTCTATTATTATCTCCAATCCATCCTGTATATATTTTGTTTGTACATTGTTGTTTTCATGTTGTTTCCCCAGTTAGCTTGCAGGCTCCTTGAGAAGAGATTTGCATCCCTGGTGCTTAGCATAATACCTAGTATATAGTAGGTGCTTAACAAATGCTTATTGACTAACCAGTGCAGATTGACATCTTCTCTGAAACTTATATTTTTAGAGAGTTGCTGAGAGTGCAGAGAAGTTAAAGACTTACCAAGGGTCACACAACTAGTATGTGTTAGAAGCAGGATCTGAACCCACATTTTCTTCTGTTCCCCATCCCATGCTGGTTTCTCTACCCTCTAATACTGCACAAATTACCACAATTAGACAAAATCTTGGGTTTTCGAATAAGGAAAAGAAGAACTCAATGGAATAATAGGCCACATAACCATAGAAAAAGCTATAATTGACCCCTAGAAGACACTTCATTCTATTATCCTTAATATTTATTAATTAAAAGCACTGTACTAGTCAGCTAATGCATTGGATGAAAGGATCATGAAGGAATGAATAAATCCAGCTTGATGTAGAAGCTAGAGTGCAGAACTTGGAGTTAGGAAGACCTGGCTTCAAATCTTACCTGAAACTCCCATAATAGCTATGTGGCCATGGCAAGTTACTGAACCTCATTGAGTCTACTGTCTCAATTGTAAGATCAAGATAATACCTGAAGTACTGACCTCCACTGGGTTATTGTGAAGCTGAAATGAGATAATGCATATAAAGGATTTTGTGAACTTTTAAGGACTATATATCAGTTATTATTAACTTGTAGCACAATATTGACTTTATTTCAATTCTATCTAAATAAGGATAGGTTGGTAAAGACAGATTGTATGCTTGTGATTGCTTGATTTGTCACAAGGTGATGATATGGAAATGATATTTATCTTTTTTCTCCATCATGAAACAGATACTTTGGTGTCCTATGGATTTTTTTTGACAAACCTCACCAAGATATTTTATATACTTGCACCACTACATGTAAGTCCTTCCTTTTTTAATGCAGTTCATTAATTCATTTTCCTTCATATACTACTGTAAAAAGAGAGGATTTTGGTGCTTTGATATTTTAGCTGCCTTCATGTCTGTGCTCATGTAAGACTGTCTCTGTGCATTGACCATATTCCCATGACATAGAGTACTGAGTCTGGAGTCAGGAAGACCTGAGATCAAATGCTGCCTCAGACACTTACTAGCTGTGTGACTCTCCATTAAATGCTTAATCTCTCTCAGTCTCAGTTCCTTGTAAAATGGGGTAATAATAACACCCACTTCCCAAGATTGTCGTTGTCCGTTTTCAAAGAGAACCAAAATGACAATACTAAAAAAAAAAAAAACTCAAGCCTTTTCAAACTTTGAATTTAACATGGAGAAAGATCTCAGAGAATTATCAAGTCCAAACTCCTCATATTAAAGAAACTGTGCAGACAAGGTGGCTTGACCTGAGCTAGCTAAATCCAGTATTCTTTACATTATACCTCTTATATTGGGTCTGTAGGTTCTTCCTGATTTATTCCACTTAAGCTGGCTTCCGCAAAAGGGAAGGAGCAGAGAACATAGGTCTAGACTCTATCACCAATAAGGTCTTAAAGCAATGTTGTTCACTGCTCTCCTTCTGTTATTACAGTAAAAGGGCAGGTAATGGTCTCCTCAGTGGATTTGAAGTGGTCAAGCAGTATTCCACAGCATCATCAAACAGATCTAGAATGGCGTTCAATACAAACACAGCTTAAGAGTTTTCCTCCTCACTCTTCATTTTCAAGAGAGTTTCATTTCCCCCAAGACTGTGTTACCTATTTGTGATTCTCTTAGTAAAACATACAACATTCCCTTAACCCTAGACCCAGGAACCAAATGAGCCAGTAATCATATTGAGCTTAAGCATTCTTCTGTTTCCAGCCTGCCTTTCTAAGCTCACTCCCCATTAATCCCCATCACACTCTTCACATTCCAGCCAAACTGTGTCAGTGGCCATACTCCATACATGAAATTCCAAATCCTATCTCTGCACAAAGAGGATGTAGCAAAGGCTGTGTCCCATGACCTGAACGTGCTCCTTCCTCACCTCCATCTTTTAGAATCTCAAGCTTCCTTCAAGGCTCAGCTCATGTGATCTGTTTTACATGAAACCTTTCCTGATACCCCCCAGTTGTTAAAATTGTCTTCTCAAATTATCATGTATGTGTGTGTATACATCAACACACATATGTAAAATATACACACACATATATGTGTAGGAATACACATACACATGTCTGTTCATGTATATATGTGCACACATATACACAACCATATATGAAATGTACGTGTGTGTGTGTGTGTGTTTACATCCCAACTGACTGTAAGCTCCTTGACAGCAAGGGTTATTTGTCCCAGTACAGTGTCTTGCATAAAGCTGTACTTGTTGTATTGTTTAGAAGATTATCAAAATTCTCAAAGCATGGAAGTCATAAACTTCAGTGAGTGACCTAATGGATTTAGGCAATTTTATTATAGAATTAGGATGACAGGATCAGAGATTTCAAGCTGGAAGGAACCTTAGAAACCATCTAATCCAAGGTCTTCATTTTACAGATGAAGAAATCAGGGCCCAGAGAAGTGAAGTGATTTGCCCAGGGTTACAAAGGCAGTGAAAGGCACAGGAACTGACCCCAAGTTTTCTTATTGCAAAGCCACTGTTCTTTCCCTTGTGCCATTTCATGAAAGCTGGTTATCATTTTTTAAGTTGAAAAGACCAAAAGGTCACCTTTGATAAAGAACATAGTCTTTGAGGATTTACTTTCAAGCCCAGGTTTTAGAATTAGATTATAGGGACTACAGCATTTTCATGCCTGCCTCAACAAAAGCACACTGTTGGGGAAACACACTGAATTTGGTCCTTGAATGCCAACTTACAATAAATTACAAGACTAAGAATTTTTCTTTCTTTCTTTTTTTTTTTTACCTTGTGCAGTTCCACAGGAGTTGGGGACATGATCTCCTTGATCTCTTGCTTGATTTTTCTCGGGGGCATAGACTTCCTACCCATATCGACGGGCAGGGTGTTGCTTCGCGTCGCCTGGCTGTAGTGGCTCCGGGACGTGCTCCGTTCTTGGAAGCTGGCCTGGCGTCCCAATTGACCACGTGATGGAGTGGAGGCCTCATGATTCAAGCTCAGCGTGCTCCCCAGCATGATTGTTGCCTGTTGCATTGACAGTTTTAAGGAGGGAGGGGAAAATTACACCCTTGAACTGATGAAGAGGTTTTATTACTAATTCATAATCTCCTTTACCCCAATCAAAATACAGTCACTTCAGTGCACAGCCAAAGGCTAGAGAATGGATGTATGAGCGCTCTAGGTATGGTCTGTAAAACTTCAGGAAACTGGTTTGTAAGTGATGTTCCTAATGCCCAATGAAAATGTCAGTCAAAGTCCTTGCATTGTTAGGTGTGAATACACTTAGGGCAGTTTGGAAACTGGAACTGCGCAATGCTCTAAGCATTTGTTTCCTGCAGACTCTGACATTTAAGAAAGCCACATTTAGGATGCAGCAGGAGAATCTTTCTGTGGAATTGAAACTAACAGAAAGAATTCACACAGGCAGCTTCTAGTGAATTAATTTCGAGTAAAAGACTAAGGACTTCTCATTCAGAAATGTCCTTTGCCCTTCATTCATGTTGCCCCCAGAAATAAGTCGCCAATTCCACAGAACCTGGTTCATGCTACAAAGAGAAAAAAGACTCTGCTCTCATGTTTACCTGTGTTACCCCCACCTCCAAAAGGCTGCTAATGGTTAAATTTTGTTATATTGGCAAAAAAAAAAAGAATACCAGGCTTTTTTTTTTTTTTAGGATGGTGGATGCTTCCCAACTACTTTGTGGTTCTCTGTGGAGAACCAGGATTAAGAGAGGTGCAAGAAAAATCATGCATTTGGACTCAAGGGTATAAATTGAGACATTTTTTGGACATGGCCAATGTGGGAATTTGTTTCACCTGACTACACACATACATGTTGATAACAGGAGTTTTGTTTTTCTTGTTTTCTCAATTAGCAGGTGGAAAGGAAGGGAAAGAGAAACAGATTTTCATTTGAAAAAAAAAGTTAATTATAAAAGAAAAGAATCATCATCTGTCATCTCTGCTGTGCTCACCACTTTGCTAAATGTCTGCGAGATGGGAACTGAGAACTACCAAAACATCAGAAAGATTGCTCAGTGCTATGTACACAACATAATATATGAGAAATGATAAGCTTATTTCTCATACAACATGAGTGATGCCAGAAGATTAATTGCATTAATTAACTAACTATAGCTGGGTTCCAGAAATGGGCCACCAGCAGAATTCAACATTAGGTTTGGGTCTGTCATTGTCATAGGATGGTAAAAATCCTGCAAATTTTTTTTTTCTAAAATTAGAACCATGATACTCTTTCCTCTCTTAATGTGAAGATACTTTAAAGACAAACCAGGGCACGTAGCATTTGGTAGTGAAAATATATCCTTCATGGTACATGGTGTCTGGTTGCTTAATGAGAACCATATTAAACTAGTAACTAAAAAAGGAACAATGCAGAGGGGCCATGTCATCATATCAGAAGAGAACTCTAACGTAGCTTCCACCAGAGATTTTAAACTCTGCGGCAAAAGAGAAATTCATCAGATCCTTCAATTATTATAGATGTTGAGTCACTTTAAGTTGGGAAGCAAAAAATATAGCAGAGTTCCTTTTGTGTCACCATGGAAAAGTCATATACAGGCACAATTTAATTGATAACCAGCTTGAATAAAAATAACGGTGCATGGAAAAATCCTGACCTTTATCAGTAATCTTAGTGATTACTTGGAAAGTACACATGTACTACGTATGGCCAAGTTGTAACGCATCCATGGGTAGATTATGCATGTTATCTGAGCTAAATCTTGTTTTTAAATTTATCAACAGTTGGCAAATGACTTTCTTTGTTGATATAGGGCACTCATTTTTGTCTGGCCTCAATTTTTCTTTGTTGAAGGGAGAAAAGGATGACGTAAGCATTTATATAGCATTGACTATGTGCCAGGTACTGTGTTAAGTATTCTTTAAAATTTTTAAATAAATATTACTGGACTTGATCCTCACAATATGACTGTGAGGTGAGTGCTATTATTATTCTCTTTTTATAGTTGAAGAATCCGAGACAAACTAGAGAGTGACTTGCCCAGGGTCACATAGTTTTTAATTTAAACATGGGTCTTTACAACTCCAGGTCCAGAGCTCTACCTACTGTGCCACCAGCTACTTCTATATGTTGATATATCAATCTACTAAGATCACCCCAATCCATCAACTTTAGCTCTTGCTTTGCTGATGTCTCTGCTCCCTATTCACTTTTCTGATAGCTAGTGGGAAGCCCTGAAAAATCCAAATACTTAATCACTTTATCTGTTCCAGGGTATGTTTGAGGGATGGTACTTTTAGAGACCAAGTAAAAGGTTTGTGGGAAGAAAATTAGAAGGGAGAGACAATGTCTGGCAACTGAGGAAGTTCCCATTCCTGTCTCCACACTTTGATATTGTTTAAAGTGAATTATAAGAACATGAGAAGTATATATATGCAAAGATAAGAATAAAAGTAACAAACTATCACTGATGGCAATAGTACCTTTGTTTCTGTCCAGCTACAATAGTGAGGCTATGCCCTTGTTATATCATCACTCAATATTGCTAAATAAATAGACATATCTCTCTAGGTAACAATCTCTCCAGTGTTGATGGAGTTTACTCTCTGATGTTTGCTAAAGTTTTGCTTTGCACAAAGTACATCATATCTCACATGCACAGTGGTGTTTATTTTTCTGAGAGAGGCCATTAAATAGAAAAGAATTCTGGGCCGGGAGTTAAGAGATAAGGGGTTTTGGTGCTCACCCTTCTGACTGTGTAACCTTGGCTAAGTCACAATCTCTCTGGGTATTAATTTCCTCACCTATTACATAAGGGAGGGGATTGAGATAATCTCTAAATTAGTTTCCAGAAGCTTAAGTTCAACAAAATGACAGAATTCAGACTTTTCTTGTAGGTTATGTGAAAGTATATGCAGAGATTAAAAAGGAACAGACTGATAGCAATGTTGTTAATTAGCTTCTAGTTTATACTTCTTTTGCCAATTTGCTAGTCATTTGGTGGAACTAAGGTTTCCTGCTGTCATAGCTATCATAAATGATTATTAAAGGATATATATTAAGTTAAATATATAGTCAATATGAATTATATAATACATTAATGATTAATGAATTTATACTAAACATATTAAACATAGAAATTAAAGAATACATTATACATTAAAGAATATATTAAATATTAATATATTAAAGAATAATTTGAATTAACTTCTTTAAAAACTTTAAAACACCATATAAATGCCAGTTATTATCATTAATAATAATTACTGTGCATACATGAAGGTATGTGTATGAATTTCACAAGTGGGATACTAGTTCTGTCAGTGTTGTTCACATGAATATTTTAATCAAAGCACTAGGTCATGCATTTATTTTTACCCTTGCTTATAAAAGTATAAACAGGACCTAAATTTATGACCTAAATCTAACTAGTCTTTGTTGTTGTGAACTTTATCCTCTGTTCAATCTATATTCAGTATTTAGTATAGTGCTTGGCACATAGTGGGAGCCTAATAGATATTTATTAATTCACTATTATATGTTGGGTATGTGGGTGAACCTGTTATTTACTGGTGTGGAGAATTCTCAGTGTGGAAACTTTCCCTACTAATTAATCACACCTTTGTAATTTACTGTTTTTTGAGGATGGCCCAGGGCACTAAGAATTTACTGGTCTTAGATCACACAACTATTAAGGGTCAAAAGGAGGACATGAAAGTGAGATCCTTCTGATTCCACAGCTACTATGGACATATCATATTACCTCTCTATTCATCTAACTAATTTAATTTCTTTATTTCCATTTCCAAGGGACCCAGTTGGTTGAAGCAGTATCAAAGCAACTTGGTTCCTCTTGAAGTACCCTTTCATGAGGGAACAGTAACTCTATGTGGAAATAAGCTTCCACGGCAGTAACAGCTTCTACAGACTGGAAATGGGTATACCAGAGGAGGGTCTATTACTCTTTGTAGTTTTATATAAGACCAGAAAGCATCCCAGAGAAAAATGGAAAGGTCATCTGAACCAAAGCATTCCTATAAAAGACAATGTCAAGGCTGGTTTTTGAGGGTAACAAAAAGAGATGCGTTTGTATTGCATCTGCAATTTGGGCTCTTTTCAACAATCAATTTAAATATGGAAAAGGCGGTGAATGTTCCTATGAACCAATTGTTAGATAGTTACTAGTTCTGCCACGTGTGAAATTTGAAAATCCCAAGGAGGGGAGACTCTTCTAATCTCAATTTGCTTGAATTTCAGAGTTGTCATCCACTTCCCTTTCCTTGAACTGGGCTCTGAACAACAGAAACTGAGACATTAGCCTGTGAGATCATGCCATATGAAACTACAGAATTTATAAATAAAAAACTCATAATTGCTCTCGACAACCCTACTTGCAAATACATACAATCTTAGAATCACACCAAAGGTCCATCCATGCAAGAGAGAAGCAACGTGATACAGGGGCACAAGATCACTTTAGCACTGAAGGAGGTTTCTCCCCCAATAGGCCATTCACATTCCTTACGATTACGAGGGACTCCAAGTGACGTCAGAATGAAAATGACATCCTGCCACTTTTTGCAGCCCCCCACAAAATTTAAAAGAACATAAAAGGAATAGTCTAGGACTTCTCACTCCAAAGTGTGAATGCTGCTGGAATATTAATTGCTTTGATTAAAGAAACTCTCTGGGAAGGTACTAGTAAAAGATGGATTCAATTATTACACACCATCTCACTCCCCCTCAAATTTACACTAAATAAAGCAAGCGAAGAATCAGGATTTGCAATTAACAGCAAGGCATTGTGTGATTATTTTGGCTGCTTAAAAAAAAAATGTCAGCTGTGCTCATTCACCAGCTGGCACATTACCTATTTTAAGGACAAAAAGCAAGCAAAAATTTCCTCTTATGTTCCTCTTAATGATCGAATTAGTTTCTATACCAGATACAAATGCTATCATGCCAAGGAACCCTTCTAAACCAGCTTAACAGAATGGAATGCGCAGCAGCTGTGAAACCTGGTTTGGATTTTTGTTTTTTGTTTTTCTTTTTTGTTAGCAATCTGGTGGGAAATGCTGCATGTGCAGTTGGGATTAGCAGGGCAGGATGGCAGAAGCTACAAGTCAGGAAGCCTTGAGGGTGGAAATGGGAGAATAAATCATTTCAGCAGCATTTAAAAAAAAATCAAATTGCTTTCTGGAGGGCAGAGGGCAGGGAAGGCAGCTTCACAAGCAAAAAATATTAACATAAAGGGTAGGTACCAAGAGAGTCATGTTTCTCAAACACAGACGCCTGTCCGCTTTCTCCTGTGGAGAGGGGTTAAAGCTTTTAAATGTGCTGGAGTGAAAAATGCAAACTGATAAAGGTAAGAAGAACCAAAAAATGAAAGTTGGCTGGAATCAGGGATGGGCGGGGTCGGTGCTACCTCGAGCTCTCTCAGGATTCCTGACTGTCCACAGGTTTCTAAGTCCTCCAGTGCCTGAGACCAGAAATTCTCTTCCTGTTCCCCATCGGCATTGTTGTGAGTCCCTGGAAGACTGTGAACACATAGAAGGATTTAGGTTAGACTCAGCCATCAAAGGTGGTGATGTGTTTGTCCCTGAATCAAGATTTTTACCCCTTGTTCGACACACACGTCATTTGTGACAGCAGAGGAATTAGGGTGGAAAGGTGGGTAAAGGGACCAGAAATAATTGAGAAATTCTCAGTGATATGTGAGCTCTGTGTGTGTGTGTGTGTGTGTGTGTGTGTGTGTGTGTGTGTTCCTTTCCCTTACTTTGGTAGCAGACAGTCCTTCAATTTTAGGGGTCCACATTGGCATAAATACTGAAGGCAAGCACATTCATCCTCACCAAAGAACAATTCAATGATTGAGCATTTGATGAGATCAAGACTCCCTGGAGCGGGTTGACTCTCACCCAGGAGTCAGCCTGGTACTATGGTCAGAGGTCTGGATTTGGAACCAAAGGACCTGGGTTCAAATCTCAGATCAGCCACTTCCTATCTATAATCCGGGTCAAGTTATTCCCTCCTTTCTCTCTGGGCCTCAGTTTCCTCAACTGTCAAACGAGGAGGTTGTATGAGATGACTGGATCTAGTTCTGGATCTATGATCTTCTGATTCTTCCCAGTAGCATTTACAAAGGAGTGCAGCTACCAGATTAAGCAATACAGTAGAAACTGAGGGCACCTGGGTGGTGTGGTGGATAGCGTGCCAGGCCTGGAGTCAGGAAGAGATAAGTTCAAATCTGGCCTCAGAAATTTACTAGCTGTGTCATCCTGGGCAAGTCACGTAACCCTGTGTGCCTCTGTTTTCTCATCTGTAAAATGAGCTGGAGAAGGAAATGTCCAACCACTCTAGTGTCTTTGCCAAGAAAACCCCAAATGGGGTCACAAAGAGTTAGACACGACTGAAACGACTGAACAACAAAATAAACGGAGGCTGCTGATTCTCATCCTGATTCCACCACTAAGATGTGTCTTTGTGGACAAATCACATTATTCCTACGGGGAGGAAGATGATGAGTGTTATGGCCGAAGGGTTACTAAAGTGCCTAATGAAGATCAAATGGACAGAGCTTTGGGAGCGTCCTGCTTTTTTCCACCTTTATCACTCCATATAGGCCATGGGCTCCCAACATTTCCCTCCATCAAAAAGAATAAAAATTTAAAAAATGGACCAGAGTTAAAGCAAGCAGGTTTTAAGGAGACTACATTTTCTTTTAATGAGTCTTACTATTGAAATTCAAACTTTTAAAGACTACAGCTATTAGTCATATCACTAAGGCACTTCAAGGGCATAAATTTTCTGGGCTTTGTATGAAAAATAAGACAATCTGAACCTGTTAGATGGATTAAAGCTATATCTTTTAATCCAGCAGATGTTTATTAATGCCACTTTGGGACCATGACTTTTCACCGATTAGTTACTGATTCGCCCTAGAACATGCTTCCTTGGAGCACCAAAGTGAAAAATCACTTCTTGGCCCAAAGCACCATCTTGAATATGTCTTTGCTAACTTGCCATTACTAACATGGACTCGCTTAATTTTTAGTAAAATGGAAGAGAGAAGCAAAGGTTGTTAGACTTTGTTATAAAGTAAGAAGCTGAATTTCAGAAAGAAGAAAATGAATCCCATTACTATTCTCATTAGGTGTACATTATTACATTTTTTTTTGTTCTAGGCAACTCTATAGGAGTATAGGATAGCCCTTCTCTTATCTCTATGCCCGAAATGTTCTTCTTCCTCACATTAACCTCTTAGAACTGTTAGCTTCCTTCAAGAATTGGCTCCAGTGGCCTCTACACGAGGACCTTTCCTGATCCCCTAGTCATTAGTACACTCTGCTTCCTAACCCCCAAATTAATTTCTGTTTACTTTATAAATATAAATATATAAATATATATAGATATATAGATATAGATATAGATATAGATATAGATATAATATATATTTATATATGCTGTTTCTTTCCAGCACACTATAAGCCTGTTGAAGGCAGGGACAGTTTCATTTTCGTCTATGTATTCCTACTGTCTAGGAGAGGATCTTGCATTTTCCTTTTGGCCTGTTATTTCACTGGTGTAGTAAACTCCAGATGAAAAAAAAATCCTTCCAATGCAGATATGCAGTTCTTCAGCAACTTCTGGCCTTTGAGAGTTGCCTGGGGATACTAAACAGTAGAGAGACTTACCTAAGGTCACACAGGCCATATGTACCAGAAGTAAAATGGAGCCCAAGTCTTCTTAACTCCAAAGGGGAAGGGAAGAGGATAAGCATTTATTCTTGATCTCTAGACACTGTACCACTCAGCCTGGTACAGAACAGGCACTTAATCAATGTTTCTTAAAATCAAATTAGACCATACAATTGATTCCATAGCTTTATGTACTTTGCTCAACATCGTGGTACTAACTACACTGCCCTTGTACATTGTATTATGACTCTATTATTCCAGAAGCCCAAGGGCAATTTTGAAGAAGAACAAGACCATGGGAAGAAGGGAAGCACAGATCTAGCTTGAATTACCAACCATGGGAAATAGCGCTGGAAGACACAAGTTCACACAAAGAAATCTTACCTACTAGCTGCTGGTCTTTCCCATTCATAATCACTCAGATCCACTTCTTGATTTAGCGTCTTGCTCGTTGGGGATAAACCACCTCTTTGTTTAGGATTCCTCCATTCAAATGCATTGAAATTGGATCCTGAAGCCTGGAGGCTAGGGCCTAAAAATTTAAGTAAGGCATTATACTCTACTTTTGAAGAAAGAACATTGAAATGAATGTAGTCAGGTTTCTGGTTCATCTTGGCCTTGTGGCATTTTGTGGTTGTCTCTCTGCCTGTACTGTGAAAATGTGTAAAGAAACTGACCAGTGTGGACTAAATTTGGTAGGTTAGTGTAGAATATCAAGATTAATGATAATATAAAAAATATCTCACATTTGATATCTTTGACCATTGTCTCATCTCTTACTTGATGCCTTTTCCTTCCATGGCTTCCATGCTACTCCTCTTTTCTGGATCACTTCCTGTCTATAAATGGCCTCCCCCCCTCCAACTTCTAAAAGTGGAAGGTTCCCCAAGATTCTCTCCTTGGTCCTCTTTAATCTCAACATTCTCTTCCTTGACAATTCCATTTACTCTCATAGATTCAATGATCAATTTTATGTTAATGACTCTCAAACCTATATATTCAGTCCCAGTCTCACCCTTGATCCATACACTTGCATTTTCAACTATATTCGAATATCCTTAAAATATTCAAAATTGAACTTAGCTTCTTCCCAAATCCCAATTCTCTTCTCCACTTCCCTATTTCTGCGAATGACACCATCATTTTCCTAGACACTCGTGCTTGAAAATTCAGTCATCTTTGATTCTTTTCTCTTCATCATCCTCCATATCCAATTAGTCAGTTATCAAGTTCTGTTGATTCTATTTGTTGAAAAATTTCTTTTTTGTCCTCTCTTTTCTCCTCACACAGACATCATCTTAGAATAGGTCCCTTGCTATCATTTGACTGAACTTTCTTAATAGCCTCCTAATTGACTTTCTTGCTTAGTAGAAGCAACATCTACTTGGAATTACAGAACCTGAGTACTACAAATCTTAGCTCTGCCTATCTGTCTTGTGGCCAAGTGACCTTGGGTAAGTCACTTAATTTCTATGCATCTCAATGTCTTCATCTGCAAAATGATGAGGTTGGTCTACAGGACCTCTAGGTTCCTTCTAAATCTATGATCCTATGATACTTCAAACCATTGTCAGAATACTTTTCCTTGTGTGGAGGTTTTTTTGTTTCTTTCTTGTTTAAAAATCTCTACAGGCTTCCCCATTGCCTAAAAAAATAAAACACAAAGTCCTCAGCTTCACCATCAAAACAAAACCGGATGATCAGCCACTTCTTGACCTGGTCTTATCCTTTCTCACCTCTGCACACTTGTACAGACCATCCCCAAGTTTGCAATGGACTCCCTAAATCCTTCTCTTTCTTTGAGGCTCAGTTCAGCAAGCATTTCCTCCATGAAGCCTTTTCTGAGCTCCCAAGTTCAAATGATGCTTTCCATGACATATTCAGGAACCATGGAGGGTAGGAGCCATCCACGAGTCTTGCTGATTATGCACTATGCAATTAATAAGGTACATATGTGGGGCCAAATCCCTCTACCATTTTTACTCCATTGTCCCCCATCATGTTTTCCCACAACTGCTATAAATACACAGGGGGGCTTGTTAGAGGTGGTGTCTATTTTACTTGCCAATGACCTAAGAAAAGAACAGGACCCAAAGGATAATGGTCCTCTTATCCAACATTTTGGTCCCAAGGCCTAGGACACAACTCACTGACACACTCTGGAAGCATTCCTTATTAGCCTTCAGTCTGGTGAGCTCATACTTTATAACAATGCAGAACTCAGGAAATATTTACAGTTCAATATTTCATCCTTTTTCTCTGACAGCAGCAGAAATGTGATTAGCTGGTTGGTAAGAAGCCATGTGTGTGATGAATGAGTAGTTTGCCACCTACGAAGCTGAATTATACTTTGCTCTGACCAGCCTCTCCTCCAGAAGAGAAATGGTAGGGGTATAACTATAGGATATTCCTAGTCTATAGGCAGGTTCACTGGCTTTCTTTTCTAAGCTAAAAAGAGAAATGTGTAAGATCTAATTTCTTATGCTGGAAGAAGTGTTAAGGAAGGCCTGCACCCTTCTTACCAACCTGTTAAACACTTCAGGAGCCCTTTTCTGAGATTAGCACTGAAACCAATGCAACCACCATTTAGCATCATTGGGTATCTCCCCACAAAAGCATGATATTCATTCCCAAGCCCTGAAGAAATTCTAACTTGTTCACAGCTAAATGAAAGATTCCACTTTAATTCATTCTAGTAGGCTGGGCAAGAGATTACAGATGGGTCAGTATCAATCCATCACAGCTGTTCAGGAAAATATCTTCAAATGCTTACCAAATATATAACAGTCTGCACCTTTTCCTGAGCATTATTTAACATAATGGCGTCACTGAGTAATGAGAAGTATAAAGGGGTTTGTGGGGAGGAGGAGGAGGCAAGATTAAATCATACATAGGCATAGAATTGTCCTCTGAACTTAGTGGCAGAAAATCTAGTTTCTAGTTCTAGCTATTCGTGTCTCTGTTAGAGGTTGTAATTCATTAGGTGGAAAGAGGAGAACAGTACCTCCCACATAAAATGTCTCCATCAGTGTAGCAGATGACTCAGAAAAAGGCATGGCTGACACTAACACTTATATCTCTACGTTATTGATCCCTGCCTCCAATTACCTCCAATTTACCCGACACCTATCTTGTTTATATATATATGCATATATATATGTATATATATGTGTACATATATATATATATATATATATATATATATATATATTTATATATATATTTATATTCATGCCTCCCCAAGGAGAAGGAGAACTCCTTAAAAGCAGAGGCTGTTTTTTGCCTTCTTTGCATCTCCAGTGCTTAGCACCAGTGCCCAAAACATAGCAAATACTTAATAAATACTTGTTAACAAACTGACTGCTTCCTACTTGATACCTTTACTAGTAAGGGCTGCATTATGGTTTTGTTTTTTTAAAGTTGTCTCTCCTTATTAAACAATAATTTTAAAAAAGAAAACACTCATAAGGAATGTGCAAAACAAATTCCTACATTGCCAATGTCTAAAAATATTTGTCTCCTTCTGATTTTAAGTCAATCATCTCTGGAAAAAAAGAGATCTCTTTGGTCCTCTCAGATATTACAGATGTTACTATATAAATTGTCTCCCTTAGTTCTGCTCGATTCATTCTACATAAGTTCATAGAGTTTTTCCTTCCCAGTTTCTTCTTCACTGATAATGCTACTGAACAGAACAGGGCCAAATGTTCTGAAGCACTCCCAAAAAGTCACCTCCCTCCAGGGTGACATGAATTCATTTGTCACCATTCTTTGAGGTCATATGTTCAACAAGTTCTGAATTCACATAGGTATACATTCATCCATCTAGTATTCCTTTAATTCCAGAAATGATTCTGAGAGAATTTGTCAAATGCATTATAGAAATTAAAATATATTAAGAACTACAATGTTCTGTTGTTCTACTTAAAAAGGAAACTGAAGCTAGGGTGGTGATCCACAGTCCCTGAGAAATCTTAGTGATCAACTGCTTCTCTCTCTAAATACTTGCCAACTGTGTCTTCCATAGTCCATTCTAGAATTTTGCCAGTAATTGACACTGGGTTAACCAGCCCATAGTTCAAAGAATTCATTTCTTCTTTGAAAACCAAGGTATTCACTTGTCTCTAAGTCTTGTTGTCCCTCTTCTGTTATCAACCAGTTTTCAAACATCACAGAGAAGGGTTCAACCATCAAATTTGAAAGCTCTTTTATTGATTTGGAATATGGTTCACTGGAGGCAAGTGACTTGAACTGAGGAAAACTAGACTTTCTGCCATTTTATAATCTAATGACTCATCTTGGGTTTCATTTTCCTCCTAGCCCTTTGTATTTTAATTCCCTTGCTAGAGAAAACAGTTATCTAGCTCTGCTTACTGGGTCCAAGTAGAACAAGTGTAAATCCTCTTCCCTGTAACAGGCCTGTGGATAACTGAAGGATGTGCAATTTACCAAATCTTTTTTTTTTCCAGACTAAACATCAATTTCTTCAATTGATGCAGGATAGCATGGAATCATTTCACCACTCTACTTGCACTCCTCTGGATATATTCTAGTTTGTCAACAGCCTTCCTACGATGTGGCACCTAGAACTAAAAACAGTATTTCACATGTGACCAGGGTAGGATTCTTACCTCCCCTATTCTGGGCATTATGCCTCTGGTAATGCAGCCCTAGACCACATTAGCTTTTTTTGGCTGCCATAAAACACTCATGACTCATTAAGCTTCCATTTAAACTAAAATCTCAGTTCTTTTTCTCATTAACTGCTATAGAGGCATGCCCCTGCCATTGCAAATGTGTGTAGCTGATTTTTTTAGAACCCAAAGTACAGGACTTTAAATCTATCCTTAAGCAGGTTTCAACTTATTAGATTCAGCCCACCATTCTAGTGCTATTTAGTCCCTTTGGATTTCATGTGCTAGCTCCTAGATTTATGTCACCTGAAAATTTGATAACTGTGACATCATCTCTGCTTTCATCTAAGTCATTGATTAAAACGTAGACAATAGGGCTGAGGATATATCCCTGTGGAAATCCACTAGACACTTCTCTTAAGGTCAGTGCTAATCAATTAATCATTACTCTTTGTGCCCAGCCATTAGACAAGGTCTGAATCCATTTAACTGTATTATTATCTCTATTACTTCTCATCTTGTCCACAAGGACAGCATGAGACACCTCTTCAAATGCTTTTCTAGAATTTAGGACTACAATATCCTGCTTCATTCCCTTTATTATCCTAGTAATCATCACTTAATGAATATCTGTTATAAGAATCTCTTTTTAGATAATCACAACCTATCATTTTAATAGAGGGTTCAAGAATTTTGTCAGGAATCAAAGTCAAGCTCACAGGGCTATAGTTTTCAGATTTTCCTCCTTTAGAAAACTAGGACATTTTCTTTGTCTCCAATTTTGTGAAAACATCTCTTGTTCTCTAATTTTTTTTTTTAACTGACCACAGTGTAAACAATCACCTAAAGATATGTAGTTTGTTAGACCTGGTGACTCAAACTCATGGAGAACAGGTAT